AGGTTTATTTTTTTAAACAATAATTTTATTAGAAAATAAAATGCATTTGTAAATTTGAATGGCATAAAGTTATTATGAAGTTGCACATGGGGCCACAACTTACAGCTCTTAAATGCAGTTAATTCAAAAGCACTGGACCATGTATGCATCATATTTTGTGATAAAATACAGCAGTACACACTTAACAGTAGAAAAATTTAAATCGCTGCCTGCTCGATGCTCCTGATGATGGCTTTTCTTATAACCGAGTGAAACCATTTCTTATGTTGTGTCTTCTGAAGAATGAGCATTCAGCATACTAAAAAGTGATATTCCATTTTGTGTGACATGAGGGTCATCCCTAGGGTGTTGACAAATCCCTAGTCACGGGTGTCATGGGGGGGCAGCACTTTATCAAATAAAGCAAACATTTAACTATAGAACAAACATATGAAATCATTTTGAGTGAAGACTGATTTGCAACAAAATTGAAAGAAGTATCCCAAATAGATAACATAAAGTTTGGTAAAGAGGCAAAGGAGAGACATTTAGCCCAATTGGGCTAGTGTTGATGACAATGTGTTTACCTGCTGAGTAAATAAAATATTGGAGCATTTTATTTCTAACATTTCTAACTTCTCCTTCTCTCTTTACTTTCTCTTTGAGACTGCAAAATTTATGAACCCTAAAGCAAGTAGCACTCAAAATAGAAGACCTCCCACCTCTCTGGTGTTTATACCCTGGGGATGACTTTGTGTTTCTTCTCTTAGGCAAAAAGTATCTGTTTCTTGAGATGTACCTGAGTTTTTATACACAGTTCTAAAATAGGTGTTATTGTTTGACTATGTGTTTCTTCACTTCTTCAACAGTCATCTGAAACTTTGTTGGTCTTCCCGTAGGACTTTTTCAACGAGCAATCGCTCAAAGTGGAACAGCCCTTTCCAGCTGGGCTGTGAGTTTCCAGCCTGCAAAATATGCTAGGATGTTGGCCACAAAAGTTGGCTGCAATGTGTCAGATACAGTGGACTTAGTAGGTTGCCTGCAGAAGAAACCTTACAAAGAACTTGTTGACCAAGATATTCAACCGGCCCGATACCACATAGCCTTTGGACCTGTGATTGATGGGGATGTGATACCTGATGATCCTCAGATACTGATGGAGCAAGGAGAATTTCTCAACTATGACATAATGTTAGGCGTTAACCAAGGGGAAGGGTTAAAATTTGTTGAAAATATAGTAGATAGTGATGATGGCATATCAGCTAGCGATTTTGACTTTGCTGTTTCCAATTTTGTTGATAATTTATACGGATATCCTGAAGGCAAAGATGTCTTGAGAGAAACCATTAAATTCATGTACACTGACTGGGCTGACCGCCATAACCCTGAAACCAGAAGGAAGACACTGTTGGCTTTGTTTACGGACCATCAGTGGGTGGCCCCTGCAGTGGCTACAGCAGACCTGCACTCAAACTTTGGTTCGCCCACATACTTCTATGCCTTTTACCATCATTGCCAAACAGATCAGGTTCCAGCATGGGCCGATGCAGCTCATGGAGATGAGGTTCCCTACGTGCTGGGGATCCCCATGATTGGCCCCACAGAGTTATTTCCTTGCAATTTCTCCAAGAATGATGTGATGTTGAGTGCAGTTGTAATGACATACTGGACGAATTTTGCTAAAACTGGGTATGTACCTAGGAATGAACTTTGTTTTTAATTTTAATAACAAATAGCCCTTGAACTATTCTCATACTATGAAATATATGCCCAAATGGAGTAATACATGTTTATTTGTTCATGTGTGATACTGGGGGTTAAAACCAGGGCTTTGAACATTCTAGAACACTTGCTCCATTACTGTGCTACATCTACATTATTTAACATAATAGATTAATGCCAGCAATATATTAACCTCTCATATCAAAAATTAATTCTGTATTATAGCGCTTCAAATAACCATTGCTTTACTATTTTTACATTTTAAAAGTTTGTTAAGAAAGATTTGTATCTCCATTTCATTGCCCAATAGCAGAATTAATTTGGCTTCTGAGTTGTGTAGGATACAGCAGCATTGCTTTTCAGTAGGGGCAAACATCGTTTCACAGTGTTTCCTGGGTTGTAACACTATATGCACTTTGATCCTCCCACTGCCCTGTGAGGTAGACGTTCAGATACTATGAGTCCCACTGTACACAAAGGGGACCTGAGGCTCTCAGAGCTTTGTCTCTGTACTTGCACATCAGTTATGTAACACCATAAGGACTTAGTTCTTCATTCGTTAGTTCCAAATCCCGAATTTATTCTTCCATGTCATCTCTGCTGAACTGCCTCTGAGAAAAGTGTGTGTGTGTGTGTGTGGTGTACGATGTTTTTTTCTGCTGGGGCAAGTGACATGGTATGCTTGTGGAAGTTAGTGGAATTGATTCTTTACTTCCACCCACACATCGATGCCAGGGATTGAACTCAGGTGGCAGGTTTGTACCTCCAGGATATCCACCCACTTACCAATCTCACAGTCCCCAAAATAATTTTTAAAACTCTTTGAGTAAATCTTTGAGATGGGTAGCCTATCTCTAAATGAAGCTAGAACATGAATGTGAAACTTACAAGTCTTAAGCTATCACCCACATCGTTGTGAGACGTAAATTTCTAAATTGAGGGATGCTAATGTTAAACTATAATACAATGCTTTGCTGGGTTACTTCCTAAATTAGACATTAGACATGGTAGTCTGACTGAAGAACAGAACACTTAGGTATGTCTTCACAGCTTCTCTCTTTTCTTCCTTTTTCCTCCTTTCCCTAGTGACCCAAACCAACCAGTCCCTCAAGACACGAAATTCATCCATACCAAACCCAACCGCTTTGAGGAAGTAGCATGGACCAGATACTCCCAGAAAGACCAACTTTATCTCCACATTGGATTAAAACCAAGAGTTAAAGAGCATTACAGAGCCAATAAAGTGAATCTCTGGCTGGAGCTGGTGCCTCATCTCCACAATCTTAATGACATTTCTCAGTATACCTCCACAACAACTAAAGTGCCATCAACAGACATCACTCTCAGACCTACGAGGAAAAATTCCACACCTGTCACTTCAGCCTTTCCCACTGCCAAACAGGATGACCCCAAACAACAGCCGAGTCCCTTCTCAGTGGATCAGAGGGACTACTCCACAGAGCTGAGCGTCACCATCGCAGTGGGAGCGTCCCTGTTGTTTCTGAACATCTTGGCCTTCGCAGCCCTGTACTACAAGAAGGATAAGAGGAGACACGATGTTCACCGGAGATGCAGCCCTCAACGCACCACCACCAATGACCTGACTCACGCTCAGGAGGAAGAAATCATGTCCCTCCAGATGAAGCACACTGACTTGGATCACGAATGTGAGTCCATCCATCCCCATGAGGTGGTTCTCCGGACCGCCTGCCCCCCAGATTACACCCTAGCTATGAGGAGGTCACCTGACGATGTCCCCTTAATGACACCTAACACCATCACAATGATTCCCAACACTATACCAGGAATCCAGCCCTTACACACATTCAACACATTTACTGGAGGACAGAATAATACACTGCCCCACCCTCACCCCCACCCCCATTCACACTCAACAACCAGGGTATAGCCAGACAAGAGAGACAATCTTATTTTTTTTCTGATGGATTGCAGTAAAAGATTACTGAAGATTCCTTGGCTTTCAACCTGCAAGACTGTCACTATTTAAATAAGGAGGAATATTATGTGAATATACATATCAAGCACTTTGGGGGTTTTGAAAAAAGAATTGTATATACACACACAAATCAACTTTAAAAAAAAAAACTATCTCAATTGCTTGAAGCAATTGTTCTGAATGATACTTTTTCATTCATATTCAAGAATTAATTTTTTGAAGATTTAAGTTACATACTGGAGTTAGGCATGTGGAACACCAAACAGGAAAGTACTTTGTCTGAAATATTAAAAATAAAATAAAAACAACTATGAATATGCACAAGGGACACACCAATGGAATGTCAGATAATTTTCATCTGTTTTTATTTGGAGCTGTTTTATTGTGTAGACCATATTTACATAAGTACACAAAGCATCATGCTGTTAATGGCATAGCAGAGGCTCATGCGAAAATTGCCAGTAAAACGAAGAAGCTTAAAGACTGGCAGGTACATATTATCACATAAGTGCTGTCAGTATAAAGTTGTGGGGATCAAGGAAACTGGATATTTTTAGCACGATGTGCATGATAATTTATATGCTTGGTGGCTGTGCTGCTAATTAAGCCGTAATTAAAATTCTTCTCATCCCATTGGAGTTTTTAATGGAAGCTTCCTTCATCAATTGGCAGAACCTAAAGAAGATTTTATAAGGGGCAAACTAATTTCAATAAAATAATTCACAGTAGTTTCAATCATAGAAGGAGTTAGTTGTTAAAGGTCTTTGGAGAGACCATAGGTACAGTGGTGAAAACTTGCTGGTTTGAATCCCAGAAAAATATTATTCTTGCACTTTTCGATGTTCTTTTCATTCCCATCTAAGAATAGAAATACAATTCTAATTGGACATGTGTCAGCTGCAGGTCTATAATTTGCTGTGGATTTTGTTACTCCTTATTTTGTTCCCTTTGGTAAGGTGAAATGTGTCTAAAGAATTACTTGCCATAGTCCTTTATGGTGTGAGGATGCCCCGATGTTACCACTCTGATTATGGTTCTCATTTAATTGATTTACTCATGTTGCATGACCAAATGTTTACTACTACTAATTCAATATAAAGTTCTGTCCCTTTCACGTCCCTTACCTCTCTTACTGAGGTTCACTTGAATTTTCTCATGTGATCTCGGTGGGAGAAAACACAGATGCAGATCTAGGAGAGTCAACACCTGAAGGTTTCCAGTCTTTCACATAAGTGTGGTTCAAAATGAATTATACACAATCACAGGAAACTCTCCCTGTTGTTTACCAGTAATATCAGTATATCACAGACCTTCCCAAATGTTTGTGTATGTAATCAGATGTACATTTATATTAAAAACAAGATGGGCTTAAGAGCACAAGCCGATAAAGAATTTCTCTCTTACCTGTACTATATTTCTATTAGACTAAAGTTATGTGATTTTTTTTACCTTTTTTCAGATGACTAGCAATTTTGATAGTTTGTAAGATAATGCAAAGAACTTTCTCTGACAAACTAACAGTAACAGAAACCTTCCTTTCCAGTTCCTCTTTTTCAAGAATTGAAAGCTTATTATACAAAAGAAAAACCTTGTATACGACTTGATGGGAACGACTTTGTACACCTTGACCACGTCAGTGGTCACTGCGTGAAATAAAGATAATCTGGATGACAATTAGTCAAATGCTAAGAAACATGATCTTTGCTCATTAAAGAGCTAAAATGTTTATTGCTGTTTTGTCTTTTTTTAAGAAAACAAAAACAAAAAAACAAAGAAAACAGGACTGTCTCAGAGTCGTGCAATTGTATATTGAAAGGCACGTCTTCTATAAGGGGGAGCTCTTGAAACTAGTGTTACAAACTTAGATGTTCCAAGAACTCATGGAAGATATTAGCCTTGTATTTTTAAAAACCCCTTACATGATGGCGTCATACAAATATGGTACCTATTATTTTCACTTAAAAACACAGGTTCTAATTCTGATCACTAAGGGAGAAGTCTATTGAAAATAAAGGTGTAATAGTTCATGAAGATCTATTCTCATAATATAAGAGCCATTAAACTATCCTAAAATAATGGATCAAAGTTATCCGTCTAGGAGAATTTGTAAGTGCTGAACAGAATAGTCACCTGACTCAGAAAGATAAAATTCTAGTCCAAGGAATTTATTTGATTATATCTTTTTCTCCCAAGTATTATCAGTAGAATATTAAGTATTGCTCCATAGTTTCAAAACAATTCTGTTACAAGCCAAGTCTTCCAACTCCAGAGCAGTCTACCCACCCCTGTTCCTGACCTGGTCATGCTTTAGCCTATTAGCTGCCATTGTAAACCAACAACAAAGTTGTACAGCCTCTGATACACTGCTTAATCACAAAACTGTCTCTTACTATATTATTTAAACAAATTAAAACGTCAGAAATAGAAGTGACATCAAAACAAGATGTGTTTTCACAGGTAATAATTACTTTACTGGGAAAACCCATTCAGCTCTGTTTTGCTGATTGCTCTATTTCTATTTTACTCTACATATACTATACATTTCTGTATTAGCCTACATTTGGATAATACAGTATCTGCTTTATATTAATTTAGAGAATTATTTAGGCCTAATCTGATTCTTTTCTCAAACTAAAGGTAGTACTAAGTTTACGAAAGACAAAGTAAACCAGGTTTTAATGCTGTCCTCAAGTGATGTGGCAAAGGTATTGTGAATCAGTGTTAATTAATTGGTAGTCTAGTTTATCATCACAACTCTGGCTTTCTGAACATCAAGTGATGTCCTACATCAGCCAGAACATTAAGAACTGTTTTTAAAGTGGAAACATAATTTTAAATGAAAGAAAAATGTTCAACATTGTTGCTCAATTTTAAGCAAAGTGTTTAAAATGTATTTATCTAGAAGATAGTTTCTTTTAAGGAGAAAAGTAAATACTAAAGTTAGTGGATATTTTTGGCATTATTTATTAATTAAGATTTTCTTGACTGAGATTAAACAGCAACTAAGCAAGGCTGCTTTAAGAATTTATACAGACATCAAACCAAAATGAAATGTTTCGCAGTTTTGCTTTTATATAATTTTTTGCCAAATATTTATCAAATGATTCATGTTGTTATAATAGAGTATGAACTTAGAAATATTGAAACAGCAGATTTAATTGTTTGAAATGTTATTGAACATGTTGACTGTGAATAAAATCTAGTTTGCTACAGACATTTAGCATAACTGACTTTCATGCAATTTGGACTATAATTTGCTAAATCATCACAAATACACAATTTAGATAATTTTTTCAGCTGAGAGGAGAAATTAATTAATTCTTCATTTTATATCTAAGTGTTGACCCCAAACATGCTTTAATGCAGACCTTTTAACCCATAGGAAAGGAAAGAACAAGGAACGGAAACTTGCTAAGACTATAACCATGTGTAATACCAAAAACTTCATGGCATCAATTTTATTTCAGAAGTGAAATGCCAAAACCCAATTCTCATAGCTATATTTCTAACAATGGTGATTTCACCTGTTTGCATAGTCTTACTGACACACACTAATATCAAGAAGGATACAAAGAATGGGACAAATGCGTTCCAGCTTTAAAGACATTACAACATCAAAATTACTGGGATTCTTTTATTTGGTAAGTTTCACTAAAATATTTTCACAGGACCCAATAATGAATGGAATTCTTAAGAAGCTGTCAAGCATCACAGCAATCCTTTGACGCTAGTGAATTTGTTTACTTCTGCTTGATTGGTTCAAACTACTGGCCTTTTATTTCTAGTAATTAGTTGTTATAGACTATCACTTTTTAACGTGAGTGAAAATTAGATCATTTGGTTATACTTGTGAAAACATGCTCCTAAATAAATTCAATTAGTGGGCACTTCCCTGCTGAGTTTTGTTATCATTCATTTAATTATCTTGCCAAGCTTCACTGTTACACAATTGTCTTGGCTACTTAGTCAATAAACTAAGGGAATGTCTCCAGGAGACTCACACATCTCCCACATTTGCTGTGTTAACACACATTCCAGGTGTCCATCAAAACTCTTAAGTTCTCTACTGATATGAAACACTGGGCGGCCAAGTTGATTCTTTGCCATAAGCATTATTGTTTGGTTTTAAGCTAGCACTTTGCCATATTTATATTTAGGACAGAAATCGATTCAATTTGTTTAGGGTCATAGAGAATACAGACTGGAAAAATCATGTGCAGGGCTTAAGTGCCTTTTCTTCTTGGTGTTTTCTTTAGAAAACTTTTCTTTTTAATTTTCAGACTCTGCGAATGTGATTTAAAAGGTGAAATGGAATATGATGACATCAACTATTAATAGGAAAGATTTATTTGGAAAGCCTTTCATTTAATTTGATTTTTACGGGATATGAAAGAGGTCCAAAAAGTTCTTTGGAAAGAGTTAAATGAATTTTTGAAAAAAGATAATTATTTAGGAATCTGATGGACTGGTGCTTAAGTATAGTAACTTACAACTCTAACAAACTTTTAATTATCTTCAACTATGTAAATTGATTCTAGAAGGTGGTAATTATTAGGAATAAACACAAATCTGAGACATATCTAATCTTTCTAGTCACTCATTACATACTTTATGGTATGTATATTTTATACTATATAGGATATACTAGACATTTTATATATTCTAAACATGTATGATTTTGGCAGAATTTAGTTCTCTATAAAACACAAAGCTAAAGCACTGGGTTTCTTTAATAAATTATAAAAATCAAGCTTTAAGGGAATTTGTAAAAGTCCAATAACAAAAACTCAGCAACTGAAGTTCAAATAAAGGGACCAGCTCCGACTGGCATTTCCAGAGGTGATATCTCTATTAGATGGAGTGACTGAAAGGACTGTAGTAATTTTAATTCATTCTCTGGACTCATATTGGTCAGCAAATTAATGGGACACGTGCTGTACTTTTTGTAAAAATAAGGCCATCTGGTTGTCATGACTCTGTTGTGTTTGGACATCCATGGCTTTCGTTAAAAATGCATTTATTATCATGAATAAATATCACCATGTTTTCCAAGTTGTGTTGTCTATTTTTAAATTCAGAATTGCTTGTGTTTGGCAGACACAGAAACACTGTAAGATAGACTTACCCTTGCAACACCTTCTGTGGGCACAAATGTGGGGATAGGTCTGACTTGATGAAAGTAATCACATTTTACGGACTGTTAACCACTTAGTGAATTCAGAGAAACCAATTGGAAAGCAGAGTTTGGAACTTGGTCTCAGCAGTATAAGAAAAGAATGAAGAGACAACAAAAGGAGCTTATGGAAGAGGGGCAGGATGTGGGGGACAAAGGAAAAATACTTTTAAATTTTAGTGACTTCTCCTCCACTTAGTTATTTTAATAAAAAAGGTATGATAGTTTTTGAAAAGAAGAGTTTGAACTATACATCTATTTTCCTTAGAGAATAAAGTTACAAACTTCACGAAGAAATAATAAACTTAACCCTGGATGCATTGGAGGCAGGGTTAATAAATGAAAATAAGTTATAAAACATTTCTAAGTCTATATCATCTAATCACTAGTGAGTGGAGATACATGAAATATTGTTGTCTCACATCTAAATTAACCAAAAATACACATGCAAGCAGGAAATAGCAGAGTTTCTTCCACAGGATGCTTAAAGATCAGTGCTTCTAAACTGTCAGCTAGATCTAACACAGCTCTAGAAGTTTCTGTGGCTTGGTAGCATCATCAGCATCCAACAAACACTTCAAAAACACATTTATAGAGTCTCACTTTCTATAAAAAGTTTTTGATGATTTGGAAGAGTTGATGCTATAGAATATGGTCATATTTTAGCTACATTTGTACATTTTCATACAGTTTATAGAAAGTTTTTTTCTGAGCTTCATAAAGTCCTAAATATGTTCTGAAAATGTTGGTGTAGAAGCAGCATTTTCCAGTGAAATACCATTATTTCAGGCACTTCCTCCTGCCCCACTTCTGGAGCCTTGCCTTGAAATCTTTTGGCTAAAACATCTCTCTTCCTTCAAACTACTGCACTTCGTTCTCAGAGTTCTCTTCCTCTGCAAGATGAGGACTTTCCTCAGCAGCCACTGCCCTTCTATTTCTACAGCCTCTCTTGTTACTATTTCTGCCTTATTTCCAACAGAGCAAAATTTGGGAGGAAAGTCTTAGAGGTGATTTGATGGGTTCCTGACAGCTGGCTTCCTCTGTTTCCAGATCAGTTAGAAGCCAGTGAACATTACTTAGCTATGATAGGAATTAGTCACTCTGTCCTTCAGCAAATGGTGTCTGCCATGTATCAGATGGTGGGTTAGGTGTTCCATACAAGGTCCACTTCTGTGATCCACTAACATGCAACTATTACTAAGCTTGGAATGAGTTCAAGCAGTTGGACTGCCTGAATACAGGGCATAGTACAGTGGAGTAATCCATTGCACTATGCTTTGTATTCTCCGTTTTGTATATCCCAAATCCTAAAATAATATGCACTGGGTTCGCTGCACCACATCTGAATTCTACTACACAAGCCTGTCAGTCAAGGCAGATGGTGGTGATCTTTCCCAGTAATCACTGTGGTCCTGTCTGGAAACATACTCTGCCACAAGATACATCACGGAATATGAAATGTCCAGCACAACTTTCATCTCACCCTACCTCATGACTGATCTTTAATCCTCTGCCTTAGTTCCAGACTGTGCCTGTGAACACTGTCATTAGACATCCACCATGCATCTGGAACTCTAACACAGTAGCTACATTTATTTGGAATTGATATTGTCCTTATCTGTATTGATAGTCTTTTCACACTTTGACAGTTATAGAATCTCCATCACCTGACTTATTTTTAAATATTTGAAGATTATTGTCATGTCATCCATGAATCATTCTCTCCTCAGAGTAAAAATCCCACTGGATACAAAATACCTATGTCTTAGGCAATGTGATGCCTAGGTTTGAACAGAAAACCCTTAAGTGTGGGCAGTCCCATTTAGCATCACTACGAGCTTCCTCACTATGGCGAGTACTTATTGTAAAGATTTATG